CACCTCTGAGCTTAGTTAGCCCTGCTCTTGGGGATCACCCTTGGAAACACAGCAACAGAAAGATGAAAGACTCTCTTTTGGATCTTAGCCTGCCAAACTCTCAACCTCATCTCCCCCTCAGAGAAGCCTGAGTTGGAGGGGCCCCAAACAAGGAGGGGGAGAGAAGCTTCTGGGCTTAGGGAAAGTGGGTCAGAGACCTGGAGAAGGAACAAAGGTGCAGTCCAAGGAGGAGGAAGGCTGGGAACCTGGAAAACTAAAAGACATTGTCCAGGTGCACGGGAACCAGCTGGTAGCTCTGGTTATCTTTTGCTTGGGGAGGCTCACAGGCCACGATGAAGAAGGCGTCCATTTGCCTCTCTTTGTACTTACAGCCTGGGTATGTCCCCGAGGTGAGCTCACAGCTGGTGGAGGACACACACTCTTGGCTCTGGTGACAGTTGTCACGGCCATTCTTGCAGGCTATGTTGGGGGTCTGACAGGTGGCGGCCACTGTGGAGAAGGGTTCATGCAGGAAGGTGTTGATATTCTTGCAGCGTTTCATGTACTTATTGATGTTGGCCATCGCCGCGTTGCATTGCTGAGGGCTCAGCTGCACGTGCTGAGTTTCGAACCACTGAGCTGAGGTCATGTTCTTGGGCTTGGCACTGACGGGGACCTCGGCCACCCACAGTCCCAGCAGCAGGAGCAGCAGCAGGGAGCTGAATCCTGCTCTGGCTGGTGCCATCTCTCCTAGGGGGAACAGTCAGAATTGAAGGCTGGAGTCAATGGGAACAAAGAGCAGGAGGTCAGAAACTAAACTTTCTATATCTGCTCCTTCTAGATCATCATCATTTCTCTCCCCTACTGTGTCCTCCCTCCCTCCCTGTCTCCCCTCTTTTTCCCTGCACATCTTGGAGGGCGCATCCCCTAATCCCATGGCTCCACACCCCCTGGCTTTATATCTCTACCTTCCTTCATTCTGTTCTTGGCTCCCACTCTCTGTTCTGTCTTCTGTGGCTTGAGTTTCATCCCCACATGTCCCTATACGTTTCTCTGTGTCTCATGTCCTCCATGACCCCATTCTGTGCCTCCAATCCCCCATCTCTCTTCCCTGTGTGCGCCCCTATTCCTCCTACGCAGAGCCTGCCCTTTATCCCTCTGATCATTCACCCGCGTGCACTCATCACGTCAGAACCAACCCCTTCTCTGTGCTCTCACCTCACCTGTGGCCCACGCAGGCTTCACCTTCTCCCTGTGTTCTCGTTCTACCTGGGCTGAGAATGTCCCTACCCACCGCTGGGTCTCTGGCCTCTCTTCTCACTAAGTCCTCCAGAGTGGGCCGGGCTATGTTACTTCTTTTGGGGGTGGACTCGGCGCAGTCCTGGATCAGGAAATGAATCAGGGTCATGCCTCTTCGTTAACGTGTCCAGTGTCCTGAAGGAGGGGATGCCTGTGGAGCGAGTGTACCTGCCTAAACGTGTTGGACAATGAGGAAGTGTGAATCCTCACATTTAAAGATTTGGCCCTTGGCCACATGGCTTTGTGATGACACCAGTAAAACACCTGACCTAGGTGTTGACCCAAAATGAATTTCAGGCAGAGCTGTCATTTGTCTCTTGCTAGATTTACCCTCTAGTGAGAGATCAGAGCAGAGCACATCACTGTGTATAAGGGTTGCTTTTTCTCTGACCTGATATACAGATAGAATAGCTGCTTTGTATCATTTCTTGCCATCGTGACTTACCACTGCTTACTTTTCAGAGGAATTGAAGAGATAGGGGAGTGGATGAGTCATCACAGTCACGATGTCCAGCCTCACCCCAACTCAGCTCTTTTATAATAGCTCATTCCTCTGAGTCCCTCCAGTTCCAGTGCCACCAAGGCCATCTGGTTTTACCTGGAGAAGGCCTCCAACACCTCTCATCCTAACCTCTCTTCCTCTCTACTTTTATTGAAGTTTTCAAAACTGAGAATGGTTTTGGTGGTAGTGTTCTCTCAACACCCAGTCTGAGGCCTTCCTTTGCTATGTATGCCCTGTTTCTCATGGTAGTTAGAGCTGTGTGAAGAGCGTGAGTCAATGCTGCTTAGGTGCCTCAGGGGAGTGTCTATGGCATGTGCGGAGAACCACAACACTGAGGCAGAGAATCATCACTATCTGTATTGGGAAGACCTGGAAAGATGAGATGAAAGGTATTTTTATTTTCAGTATTCACCTGTAAGTAGCAGGTGATCTTAGAATTTTGGCTCAGCTTCATTCATGGAGTCAGCAAATATTTATTGAGCACCTACTATGTGCTGAGCATATGTCAGAAAACAAAGGAGACAGAAACCCCTACCAATGTGCTGCTTCCCATCCATTGGAGGAAAAGTAATGTAAAAGCACACTTTGCTCAAAGGGATAATTGCTGGGCCTCGCTGGTGGTATAAGGGGTTAAGTCTCAGCACTATGAAGCTATCCACAGCCACTGAAGCTTGATTTGGATTCCCAGCCAGGGGATGGCCACATGGTGCTGCAGACCTCTCCTGCCTCGCTTGCTGCTCCCCTCAGCAGTGTATTTTGTCAGTCTGCCTGTTCTATTCCCTGCTCTGTCTCTGGTGAATCCTCTCATCCCACACACCTCTTGCCTACATCCCAGTTCTTGTATGCATAAATAAATGAAAATAAATCTTAAAAAAGAGGGACAATTGCTAAGGAAAAAAGGACAGGACAGGTCAGAAATGAGCAGGCAGTGATTTTTATTTTTTCCCCTTTAATTTTGTGTTTATTCTTGAAAGTAAAGTTGATATTTTTCCATTTTTTATTAATTTTTAAAAATTTTTTACATCATTGTTCATTTTTGAACAATATTTGCTTTTCCCCGCCCCCTCAGGTATAGCCCCATGGAGTTTCCTTCACCAGTGATTTTTATTTTTATTTTTAATTTTTATTTATTTATTTATTTATTTATTTATTTATTTATTTATTTATTTATTTATTTATTTATTCATACAAACACTGGGTACAGTCAGAAGCATGGGAGGGTGAGAGAATTCACCAGAGCCAGAGCAGGGAGCAGAGCAGGCAGAAGGACTGAAGTACACTGCTGAGGGGAGCAGCGGGCAGCAGGAGAGGTCTGCTCGCCATGTGGGACCCTTGCCCAGTGGCCAGGGATCGAACCGGCGCTGCAGAGGCTGCGGGCAGCTTCGCAACCCAGTGCTCAACCGCTGAGCCATCAGGGGAGGCCCCACCAGTGATTTTTAATCAGGGTCATTGAAGTAGGTGACTTGAAGGTGAGAGAGTGAACCTGCACTTGGAGGATTCTCCAGGTAAAGGGAACAGCGCTGCAAAGGCCCTAAGCAGACAGATGCCTGGGGTGTAAGAGGAAGAGAAAGAAGCCTAGTGTGGCTGGCACAGGTGAGTGATGAGGTCAGAGAGGACCACAGACCGGATCATGGCAAACCTCAGCAACTGTGAGAAGGACTCTGGCTTGCTCTGAACACAGTGGGGAGTTCTGGGAGTGTTGTAAGCAGCAGTACAATACCTGTTCCTTTAAAGACAACTTGGCTGTTGTGTGGATCATGATGGTAGAGAGAACACATAAAATGCCTCTATCATGAGATTTTCATTCTGGTGCAGAAATTGGGATTTTGAGTCTGAAATAGGGGGTATTTGTTTTGATATTAAGGGACATCATTTTAGCAGAGGGAGAGCAAGGCTCTGGGCCAGGATGAAGGATCTTTGGGGGAAAAAAATGGTGTTGGAGATAGGATACACCACTAGATGGCAACATAGAGCCAGGAGCAAGTTCACACAGGCTCTGGCTCTGCTGCTTTGCCCTCTGGAAGCCCTTGTCGGTGGGAACAGCTTTCACTGCTTTGTTAAGGTGCCTGAGTCTTTGCAGTTTGAATTTCTGGATGGAGAATGATGCCTCTGCCACCGTAAGAATGCAAATGCTTGGAGATAAAATCCCTGGTGTAAGGCAGACTGTGGGTACAATGGGGATCAGCACAGGCCAGTCTAGCCCTGGAGAGAGCCTTGGGTTGCAGGACCCGTGAGAGAGCAAAAGCTCATTTGAATTCCTAGCTTGGACTCTGTCTCATTTCTCATTATTCTAGAGTGAGATGTTTCCAAACCACGACTTGGGCTGCTCTCTGCTCTTGTGTTTTCCTGTCATTATAATTATTCTAGTTTGCTCTTCAACTCCATTGTGCTGGATTCTCCAGAAGGCTGCCTTAATGCTATGTGAAAGTAAAATAAACACAGCTCCTCTGTCTCAGGTCAAAGGGAAGAGAGAGTGAAAGTTTATATTTGCTTTAAAATTGAGGTAGAATTATTGAAACTACCATCTATTCAATTCATTTTTTTAAAAAGATTTTAAAGATTTTTTTTTTAAAGATTTTATTTATTTATGCATACAAGAGCTGGGGTACAGGCCAGATGTATGTGGGGGTGAGAGGATTCACCAGAGACAGAGCGGGGAACAGAACAGGCAGACTGACTGAAATACACTGCTGAGGGGAGCAGCAGGCAATTCAGGAGAGGTCTGCTGCGCCATGTGGGTCTCCTCCCTGGCTGAGGATCAAGCTGGAGCTGCAGTGGCTGCAGTTAGCTTCATAGGTTGTGTCTTAATCCCTTGTGCCACCAGGGAGGCCCCATCTGTTCAATTCAAACGCTTGCTTTTCTCTCTTAACGAAATTTTATTGATTTACCATTTGTTTACAAAACCCTATTATTTCAGGACTACAGCCTCACACCTTAATTCCTGTATGCGCTTTACTGCAGTCACCAAAGTTCTAGTATCATCACATTGCCCCCCAACCTTCTTCCTCCTCTCTGGTAACCATCATAGTTTTCAAAGCATTAAGAGTTAGTTTTGTTGTTTTGCGGGTTTGTATGCTTTGTGAGCCCTTACGTTGCTTCAATTAGTTAGATAAAGCATACGGTTTTAATGATTTATCTGCCTCAACTATCCAGCTTCTTAGATTTGCTTCACTTTGTACTCTGTATAGTCATTTTGCCATTTTTCCTTCACTGTGTTTAGATAAAAAGAAACTCTGGAGAAAGGAGGACAACGATAGGGACTGACCACAACTGATCGGAGAGTTTGGCAGAAGGGAGAAAACTTAGAGAAGGAGGAGCAGAAGACAAAATGGTGGGACAGAAGATACGGGGGAGCCCCTCACACAAGCAGTCTCTGTCACCCCCCACCTCCCCACCTCCCAACCCCCCTAGCCCTGTCCAGGGCTATGAAGCTGCTGCTCCAGCCTTCTCATTCTGTCACCATAGTCACTGCTCTTGGCCCAACCTTTCCCCAGGCTGCTGCTGCTGCTGCTCTATGTGTGTGTGTGTGTGTGTGTGTGTGTGTGTGTGTGTGTGTGTGTGTTTAAAGTCACTGGCGGTTGTTGTGAAAGTCCCAGTGGTGCCAGGTGGACTTCTGCCTGTCTCCCCCACAGGACAACAGCTGCTGCTTCCTCTCGTTTAGGATGGGGGTGGGTGAGGGGGTCAGGGAGAGAAGAGGCTGGGCCTGGATTGGTGCCCACCCTTCAGAGTCCAGCCTCTCTCTCTCTTCCGGAGTTCCACACAGCCTCTGGATACCGATGGAAAGTCCATGAGAATTTCCCTCTAAGCAGGAGCAGATCCAAGTTCTGTTATTCTAATTTGTTGCTTGAAGGATAAATAAAGGTAATGGGTTCATTTTTGTAGATGGAGAAAGTGAAACAAACAGCAAGTTGGGGGTCAGATGAGGGACTTGCTGGGGATCTTGGAATTCTCATGACCTTTTCTGGAACAGCTGTGGGTCTGGAAGAGGCAGCCCTGACAGACGGTTGGAATCCTTGGCTCCCAGACCTATGTTGCTGGACAAAGCGGGATGTAGGAGAGGGGGGACCTAGTCTGGGGGTGAGAGGCCTCACCGGGTCACTCTGTCTCCTAAGTTAGCTCCCCATTTAGCTACAGAATAAAATATAAATTCCTCAGTCTGACATTCAAGGGCTGCCACAATCTGGCAAACCTGTCTAACTTTATTTGTGACTTTTCTCCCACTGCGGGCCTCAACCCCAGCCAGGCTAGTTTTCTCTCTTTTTTTATACATACCTTTCATAATTCCCCTCTCCATTTCATTCTTTAAAAAAAAAAAAAGATTTATTTTATTTATGCATACAAGAGCTGGGGTACAGGCTAGAGGAGCAGGGGGTGAGAGGATTCACCAGAGACAGAGTGGGGAGCAGAACAGGTAAATTGACTGAGACACACTGCTGAGGGGAGCAGCGGGGAGACAGGAGAGGTCTGCTGTGCCATGTTGGTAGCTCCCCGGCTGGGGATCAAACCCGTGCTGCAGAGGCTGTGGACTGCTTCGTAGTGCTGTGCCTAACCCCTTGTGCCACCAGGGAGGCTCTCCATTTCATTCTTAACTGTTCCTTGAGCCCCATCGGCAGATCCCAGGAGCAAGTCTCCACATGCAAGGAAAATGTTTTCTGACTTCTCACTCTCCCAATTCAGAGGAATCTTTCTCACCTCTAAATCCTACAGTACTTACTCTCTTCAAAATGTGTGATTTTCTTCCTTGACTCATTTGTTATCATTCTATGTGTCTCATTTTTCTCCATTTTAGACCATCAATGCCTAGAAGACAAAGACCTCCTGTTGTGTTTCCTTTGACCCTCCCATAGGAAACAGCACAGGGCCTGGGATCTAGGTGATTTTGATTAATTTCTGGGTGAACAGACATTTTTTCTGCCCCTGAAGGATGCCAGTTCTAGGTGGGATCACCCGCAACCCACGGTGTTGGTTAGCAACTGATTGAGAAATTGATGATGCGGCTACTGGACTTCAGCCCTGGCGTGGAGGTGAGGCTATGACAAGGTTGCGATGGTTGAAGCAATCCTTTGGGTTCAAGGACAACCCAGTAATTGTCCATGACACAGTATGCTGTTGGAGAGATTTGAGCTGGACAGGACAAAAGTGATGCCACTGAGATTGTGGTGAGCTCACTTGGGGCAAAATCTTGGGGTTTCCTTCAATAATAGGGAATTATCCCTCTACCTGCCACCCTTGCCAGTTGTCCTACACATTCTTACCTTGAGGAGGGGAGGAGAGAATATGCAGATGATGACGTACAAGGGCCTCTTTATAGGAAAAAAATCTCAAAGTTGTTTCAGTGGTAAATTATCAGTATTCCTTTTGCTGGTAGAAGAACCAGTTGCTCCATTATAAACACAATCTCACAAAAATATTTTCAAGTTCCAGATATTTACCAACCCTTTCGATACATAAGGTATAAGTAAGTCTGCCTTTGTTAGGGAATCTGATTCTCTCGTGAGGCCAGAGTTTCTCAACCTTGGTACTATTTACATTTTGATGTGGATGAGCCTTTGCTTGGGGCCTATTTTGTGCACTGTCAGGTGGTGAGCAGCATCCCTGGCCTCTTCCCACTAGATGTCGATAGCACCTGCCTCCAGACAAGATGAAATTCCCTCTTATTGAGAACCTATTGAGTTGCTCCATTATAAACAAATGAGGCATATGACCTTGAGCAAGGCCTTTCTTGAAACTTAGTTCCTTTGTCTCTCAGGTAGCTTTTTCAAATGTAAAATCCAGTGTAAGAGGGTAACAATTCTTCACATCTCAGGCTCAGGGAGCAGATGAATCCATGAGAAGGATGTCAGAATGGAAGAAGCAATTCCATGGATCTGCACTTCCTGGGTAGGGATTTCAAGACCAGACCAGTAGGGCTGCAGTTTGGAACCTGAAGGCATGTCACATGCTCAGCGCTTTTCCTGTTGGCGGGTTCAGTGCCTGTAACATATGGTCACTTGTGTGTCTTTCCCCTATTGACTTAAAATGTCCTCTGGACCAGAATGGTCTTTTTACCTTTATATTTCCCCCAACATTTGCCATAGTGCTTTTCAAAAAAATATTTTAAAATAATCAACACGAATGGCTAACAGAGAAGGCTTCATGAATATGAACTGAAGACAGATGTTAGGGGTGTTTAGTTGGCAGAGCAAGATGATGGGGAGGGCAGTTGGCTCCCTTTAGGAATAAATGATCACTCAAAAGCTATTGAGGCAGGGGAGTGAGTTGTAGAACCTAAGAGACCATACCCATTCATCTATAGAATGGTTAATGGTTAAGGGGCCTCCCTGTTGGCGCACGGGGTTAAGCACCGCATTGTGAAGCAATCCGCAGCCTCTGCAGCATGAGTTCGATCCCCAGCTGGCCAGGAAGCAACCCACATGGCGAGGCAGACCTCTCCTGACTTGCCCACTGCTCCCCTCAGCAGTGTACTTTGGTGAGTCTGCCTGTTCTGTTTCCCACTCTGTCTCTGGTAAATCCTCTCACCCCCACACCTCTGGCCTGTACCCCATGCATAAATAAATAAATCTTTTTAAAAAAAATTTTAAAGTCACTTTCATGCTGACCATCTCATTTCATTTTTTTGGTCTCATGAGGTATGGAGGATATTAGCCCCATTTTTATTTATTTATTTATTTATTTATTTATTTATTTATTTATTTATTTATTTATTTATTTATACAAGCCCCGGGTACGGTCAGAAACGCCAGAGGGTGGGAGAATTCACCAGAGCGGGGAACAGAACAGGTAGACCGATGAAACACACTGCTGAGGGGAGCAGCGGGAGGCAGGAGAGGTCTGCGCACCATGTGGGACCCTCGCTTGTGGCCGGGGATCTAACCAGCACTGCAGAGGCTGCGGGCAGTCTTGCAGCCCAGCGCTCAACCGCCGCACCACCAGGGGAGGCCCTCTTAGCCCCATTTTTAAAAAAAGATTTATTTATGCATACAAGAACTGGGGTACATACAGACCAAAGGGGTGGGGGGTAAGAGGATTCACCAGAGACAGAGTGGGGAGCAGAATAGGGGGATCTACTGAAATACACTGCTGAGGGGAGCAGCAGGGGCAAGACAGGATTGGTCTGCTGTGCCATGTGGGTAGCTTCCTGGCTGGGGATCGAACTCGTGCTACAGTGGCTGTCGACAGCCTGATAGCATTGTGTATTTAACCTGTGAGCCACTAGGGAGGCTCCTTATCCAACATGAAGTCCTGCACGCTTTCCTGTCTTCCTGTCAACCAGTTCTGGTCCGTAACTGTGTGTGCAGAGGTGAGCGGTAATGGTGGATAGTGAAGAGTGAAGAGGAAGAACAAGAGGCATGAAAAGTCCCTTTCTTTTTTCAGGGATGCTGCAGTCTCGAGTGAATAGGGACGAGGTGGCCAGATTTGAGTGGGGACCACAAAGTGGCAAGCTTTCTCAAAACAAATATTTGAGTCAGCTGCTCTGCAGGGTCTGGCACCACCCTGCATGAACTCCCACTCTGTGTTGGCTTGTACCTCAGCCTGGAAGATACAAATGAAGCACCTGCTTGTGTGGGCTTTACCCTCACTTGCTTGGCTGTGCACACTTCCGTGGGGAGGTTTTCCAAACAGAGGCTTCCTCAACAGGAGCTCTGGCTGAGTCTCCTATGAGCTAGCACAGGGGAATTGATGGGGGCGAGCGGGAGAAGAAGTAGAGCTGCATTCCAGGAAGAGGACACAGTATGAACAAGCACATGGAGGTGGGCAGGGGCACAAAGGGGGAAGCAGGCAGGGCTAGAGATGAAGACATGGCAGTGAGGAGAAGGGCAGATCATGGAAGGCCTTTTGTTCCATAAGGTGGAGAACCTTACTGAAGTTGGAGAGTGACTGTCCAGGAGAAGGGAGAATCTGAGCAGGGAGGAAATAGATATAGAAGGGATGGGGTCAGGAAAGGCTTTTGATAAGATTGTCAGAAGTGCGGGCCTCCCTGGTGGTGCAAGGGGTTGATGCAACCTATGAAGCTATCCGCAGCCACTGCAGCACGAGTTTCGATCCCCAGCCAGGGAGCTACCCACATGGCACAGCAGACCTCTCCTGACTCGCCTGCTGCTCCCCTCAGCAGTGTATTTCAGTCTGCCTGTTCTGCTCTCCACTCTGTCTCTGGTGAATCCTCTTACCCACCCCCACACCTCTGGCCTGTACCCCAACTCTTGTATGCATAAATAAATCAAACTTAAAAAAAAAGATTGTCAGAATTGCATAATTGATGGGCTACGCCTGCCACACTCACCATGTGCCAACCACTGGGCTAAAAGCAATGGATATACACCCTAGTGAACCCAATACTGCTGAGAGGTATAAATTATCATTCTCATTAACAGATGAAGAAATTGAAGCTGACAATGGCTTGGGAAACTTAGATTGACGGTACAGTCTGTAGGTCCTAGAGACGGGACCAATTCCTAATTTGTTTTACCCAAAAGTCATGATCTTCACCACAATACAGCACTGCCTGTCAACAGGAGGGGTTGGGAAGAGAAAGGGGTCTAGGATGACTCTCCTGTTTCTTGCAGAGGTGACTGAAGAAATCGAGAGAACACAGGAGGAGAAGCAAGTTGTGGGAAAGATGGATTCGGTTTTAGACTCCAGCTGAGCAAGTCTAGTGGGGCTGTAAATGAGGAACACAAATCTCTCTCTAAGCACTGTCCCGGCCCCACCATCTGCAGAGCTCATTGGTCTTAGGGCACTTGGGGTTCTGCCTTCTGACTCCTCTCTTTTGGGTGTGGAAGGTAGGCTCTCTGAAGAGAACACCTTCAACCTGGGCCATACACTGAAGGGAGGCCAGGCTGAGATGACTGTGACCAGCAGGCTCTGGGCAACCAACTCTTTGCCTCCGGTGAAGGGGAAGGTGGGGGTGAAAAAGAGAGTTCTGAGCCGGGTGCTTTCCCCAACATGACAAATCAACAAACAATAGCAAGAGGGTGATAGGCGAGGCTCAGGTGGCCATAGCTCCTAAAGCCCAGGCTTTTCTGTCTAATCCCACCTGACAAGTTTGAACCTTCAGGGTCAGCATCTACAGATTCTCAGGATCTATGTGACAGGGCCTGAGGTCAGAGGTAAGAGGCAATGTGACAGGTATTGGAATGAAGTTGGTACCTGGGAGGTCATTGGGGAGGTCTTTCTCAAGTCTGTCACAGCCCCCCTAAACTTGAATCTAAAACTAAAGCACAAACTAGAATCTAAAACTGAGGCATCCTATGGAAGGCCCTTGAGTAGGTGGCCTCCTGGGAGCCCGTAAGTGGGATGACAGTGTGGCAGACCCTGATCCCTGAGGGTCAGGAAAAAGCTGCACTGTGTTCCTCACAAACACAACATACAGTGCTTTTCACTCACCTCTCCTTGGGAGCAGGGCCTGCGGCCCAGAGAGAACATCAAAGAGAGTCTAGGAACTCCTGGTCTTCTGGCAAGGAGGTTGGAACTAAGTGTTCTGAAGACACCAGGAGGAGGAGACCAGGTAGCAGTGTATCTCTTCTCCCGCACATCCAGCCTCCTCAGCACAGGGCCTCCTCAGGATCAGGGGACACTCCATTCTCCCAAACTGCTCTTTGTCCAGAAACCATTCTAGTCTGTTCTTCCTTTGAACTGTCTTTGGTCTCAGGTAAGAATCCCTGCCCATGCCCAGTTCATCTTCCAGTGCCTATGCTTCCTCTGGAGCAGTTAGAGAATTGGAGCTCCGCAGCTCCTTCTGCTCCTCTGTATTTTTACCATAAGGGTTGACTAGGGCCAGGGATAGTTGGGAAGAGTTTCTTACCTAACAAGCAGCTGCAGCTCCTATCTGTAACTATTGCAGCTTGTGGACTGAATGAAGCTGAGACCCCGTGGTGGACCAAGGGAATGGGGGGCATGGCTAGGGGAACTTGGGAGCGTGTTTTCTCTCTGGACATGAAAACTAGGGCTGGATGCTCTCTGAGATAGATACAGTTCAGCTTTTAGAGTGTGGGGGAGGACACACAGGGAAGGCTGGGTGGACACTAGAGTCTCCCGGAGGGACAGATGGTCACTCTAGGCTCACCTCTGCCTCCAAACACTCTACCAGCAGGAGGAATGACACCAGTGGTGGCCTGGATCCTGTCCCTCCAGCTTGTTCTAGGGCCAACTCTGGTCATGGACATCAATATGCGGAAAGCTGTTAAGAACTTCCGTGCCTTAAACATCGACTATCCCAGAGTGGAAAACCTGAAGAATAGCAAAGCCTACTGTAATATTCTGATGTCCTATGTACGGGGTACAATGCAAAGCTGGTTTTGCCCAAAGGTTCATTATTGGATACATGCTCCTTGGAAAGACATCCGGCCATTGTGCAAGCACAGTGACAGCTTCTGTGAGAATTACAATGCATTTTGTATATTCACCCAGGAATCCTTTCCAGTCACAACCTGCTCTGTGACCAACGAGCAGCCCGCCAGCTGCAACTACAATACCTCCCTATCCAACCAGAGGCTTTGCCTGCTCTGTTCTGCAAAGGATGAGGCTGAACCCATAGGTATCTTTGGTACCCTTTAAGGGAGGTTAGCATTCTAAACCACTCCCTACTGCCACCACAGACCAGCCTCTCCCACTAAACTCTGATTCTTGGCTCAAGCCTGCCTCCCTTACTTCAGAGGCAGGCAGTTCCCTTCCCAGACCAGGAAGGTAGGAGAAACGTCCAGAACCTTGGTCGCCATGCAGAGTTTTACTGTCTTCTAGGCTCTTTCCAACTTGTTTACCTCCCTGTCCTCTACCCCCTCCCTCCCTCTCCCACAGACAGTCTTACCCACCCAAGAAGCTGACTGTGTCCAGTTGGCAGTGACTGTCCATCGACAGGGCCAGATTCTGAATCCTGGATGGAGGCCCAGAGCCTCAGCTCACACCATGGCAACAGGCACCCTGCTTAGTGTCTCAGCTCCCCACCCCCACCAGCCTTTCCTGTCCAGTCTTCCCCATTTACCCTACAGCTCCCTCCACTCACTCACCAACACGGTGGGTGTCTCTGGCCAGAAAAACCTCCCTGACTCCCTTCTGATCATTTCAGCCTCGCCTCCCTGCAACCCTTTCAATTCCCAGTCTGCTCCTTTCTATGAAATCATTGATTTTCTCTTCATGTAAGCTGTCCTGGCTGCCCTCCTGCTATCTGGAGCCCAGGGCCATGTCTCCCCCACACCCCAGGCTTCTGTAGTCACCTGTCCTCTTCTCTCTGACCTTTCATCTTTCTCACTTTGGCCCTCTGGAATGTCAAGCTAGAACTTCTCTGACTTATTCCTCTCCTCTTTCCTTTCCTAAGGCTCCTCCTGACAAACCCCCAACTCAAGGAGTTTCCACTAACAAGGCAGGGGTGAGGTGGGTAGTTGGAGAAAATTTGAAACCACATCTGAGTTTAGTAGGACATAACCATTGGAAATTGGGTGGAAGGTACACGGATCCTTCTGTACTGTTTTTGCATCTTTTTGTGAATTTATAATCATGTCAAAATTAAAAAATCAAAAGCACATCAGAGTCAGTTCTGATTTCATTCCTTTTCCTTCAATGCACTGGAGCTCTTATTCACAGAGTTCTGGAGGCCGCCCATTCTGGCCGCCTCCCTGGGCTACCCCTAGCCGTCCATACGATCTTCTGAGCAAGTGGACCATGATGAAGGTAGCTGGGTGGATTCTGCAAATGGATTTTCCCTTCTCCTTGGCTCGAGAACAAACTCATAACAGGAGTCAGGCTAAGTAGGTCCTTGGTTCACCCTGAGCTGGTTTCTACTGTACCCCAACAAAACCTGCATTGCAACAGAGCAGGAAGGTACAGGGTCTAGTTGGTGGTGTCTGAGTCACATTATATCAAATTGGGAGTTGCTACTCCCCTTTGGGAGGTAGAGGGGGTGGATACCACACGTAACAAACACCTTTGCCTCCACATCTGGTTGGTTCATCTCGCATCTGCAAATATGCTCTTTAGCCCTGTTCCTAGAAGCAGTTTATTTTTTTTTTAAGGTTTCTTTTTTTTTTTAATAGAGGCATGCTTTATTTATTTATTTATTTGTTTGTTTGTTTGTTTATACAAGCACTGGGTACAGTCAGAAGCGCGGGAGGGTGAGAGAATTCACCAGAGCCAGAGCGGGGAGCAGAGCAGGCAGAAGGACCGAAGCACACTGCTGAGGGGAGCAGCGGGCGGCAGGAGAGGTCTGCGCGCCATGTGGGACCCTCCTCTGGTGGCCGGGGAGCAGCAGCCGGGGATCGAACCGGTGCCGCAGAGGCTGCGGGCAGCTTCGCAACCCAGCGCTCAACCGCTGCGCCACAGGGGAGGCCCCCCTAGAAGCAGTTGTTGAAGGGAATGCTAATGTAATTCTTTGGGGCTAAGTAGGGTAAAGGGTATAGAGCTAGAAACTTGACTCTGTGGCTTCCCCTCCCTATGGGCCCATCTGTCCCTAACCCTGTAGAAGTCAGAGCCCATTAGCTGCTCCACACACAGATGTTTATTGTCCCCCAAGCTCTCTGATGTTAAAGACAAGGATCACGCTTGAGAGGCTAAGATGAGACTACTCCTTACTTGTCAGTCTTCTTATCATAGGTGCCAGCACCCTTGTAGCCACTCACATAGCCTGACTTGTCAGTCACATCTTCCCGTCCAGCCAGGCCTTTGCCCTTGCCACTCTCATCAAAGCGCTCCTTGTGGGTGCCGGTGTACTTGCTGGTGTCTGTCAGCCGTCTTACTCCGCCCACGGTGGTGGCTTTCTGCAAGGCAGAGCACACTGGATGAGCGCTTCCTTCCCCTAGACCGTCCCGCCCCTCCTCTAAAGATGGCCTTTGCTCTGGCTAGTGCTCAGAACTCCTGTTCTACCCTTGGCGCGACGCTGCTTTCTTAGGGCCCAGATGTAACTGTGGGCAGGGACTGTGACAAGAGCCGCCCACTCAGGAGGAAGCAGCAGTCTCTGCTGTATGGGAATGAGTGGGGTCCATGTGGATTTTCCTGCTTCCAGAGGAGTTTGTCTGACTAGGCTGCAGCCAGATAACTTCAACTCTGGACCCCACAGCAGGGTCCCTCCTGCTGGGAAGGCCTTACTTGAACTCTAGATTTTAGCAGATGGGGCAGAGAAGGACCAAAGGGTGAGTGGGAGGCAGGAAGTCAGAGATTCAAGCTTATATTAAATCAGGAGGCTGGGGCGTAGGGGGGAGGGGTGTGGGGGGGAAATGATGACCCTCCAAAGCCATCAGGCCCTAGTTGCCTGGCTTGGGTACTGGAGACTTAGAATGAACTAAATTTCACTATTAAGATACTTTTGGGGGCCTCCCTGGTGGCGCAGCGGTTGAGCGCTGGGTTGTGAAGCTGCCTGCAGCCTCTGCAGCACCGGTTCAATCCCCGGCTGCTCCCCGGCCACCAGGCAAGGGTCCCACATGGCACACAGACCTCTCCTGCCGCCCGCTGCTCCCCCCAGCAGTTACTTCGTCACTCTCTCTGTTCTACTCTCCGCTCTGGCTCTAGTGAATTCTCTCACCCTCCCGCACCTCTGACTGTACCCAATGCTTGTATGTATAAATACATAAATAAATCTTTGAAAAACAAAAAAAAAGATACTTTTGGACCTTTGACAAGTCACTTCCAGGTTCCTTGTCTGGAATCTAGGCCACAGTTTCCTCATCTCTGAAATGACTAGATGATCTCTAAGTCTGTTCCCAAACCAACTGTGCACCAGACACTTTCTGTCTTGTCTCCCTGGAGGGAGGGGTTAGGGGTGTCGGAGGGTTGTAGGAGGAGCTGCAGGGGTTTAGGGATGAAGGAGGTCACTCACAGTGACACCACTGGTAGCTGGGTCCTTGCCCTCCATGAGTTTGTAAATTTCCTCCAGGGCTTCATCTGGGTTTTTCCCCTTAAACCGCTTCTGGCCCAGTTCCTTCATTGCCTCCTGGAACTGCTGAAATGTGATGGTCCGCGCATTTTTGGCCCTGGTCGTGAGATAGAAATCCAGGAACTCTAGAACATGAACACTACCTTCCAGTGCCCAGCCCTTCCCTTCCCCAGACCTGGCCTCTTGACACTGTGTGTCTTGAGGACAGGTGATCACTTGGTGCCAGGGGCCCAGGAGACCCCCTGCAGATGTCGCCCACATGAGCACTTCTGTGTCTCACAACCCTGTTTTCTCACCACCCCTTCTCCCATCTTTCATCCCTCACTTGACTTTGCTGAATACAATGTCCACATCAGTGGAGGTGACCATCTTGCCATCCATGATGCCACAGTCTTTGCACAACTTGGAGAAGTTCTTGTTGTTCATTTCATTGCCACTGCTTGACGAGTCTCCGAAAACGGCAAACCGCTGGAATGTTTTAACTGCTTCTGATGCCATGGTCAACAGGAGGTGGAGGAGGACAGTAGGGGGGGAGACTTGGGGGTGAGGGAGGAGGGGAAAGGAGGACTAAGGAGTGAGAAGAATGGGGGTTAAGACAAAACCAGAATCAACAATGGAACCAAGCCCTCTCTTCCCTGTTGCTCTCTCCCTTCTTCCTCCTCACTCCATCCACCCACCGTTCCCAGCACAGAGAGACTAGTGTGGGTGCTTCATACCGAATAATCACCCCACCACCACTTTTAGGTACCTAAAGGTGTCTGGATGGTGTCTGACCCCTCTTAACCTTTATATGTGTGTGCAGATAAGTGGGAGTCAGCTGGCTGGAAAGACTATATAAGAGAAAGGGGAACAGAGGGAAGCTTCTGTGATCTCAGCAGTGCCTATGTGACATCACTCCACTCTTAGCAAAGCACTAGTCTTGTGGGGAGGACTGATCCTCCAGTTGATCGAATTTCCCTCACCATTCCAGCACAGCCTGACCCAGGCCTCTAGGTTCTGCTTAAATTGCCTTATGCTCTGCTCCACAGCAGAAGCTGAGGAGAGCCCAGGGAGGGGATAAATGAAATGGGTCGACATCAGTCCAATGTTCCCTTTCTTTCTGGTCCCCAGGTCTGGGGGAGTGACCAACATGGAAAATCTCAATGGCTTTGGCAGACCAACCTCAATGGGAACTTTATTATTATTATTATTATTATTATTATTATTATTTGTTAAAGACTTATTTATTTATGCATACAAGAACAGGGCACAGGCCAGAGGTGTGAGGGGTGAGAGGATTCACCAGAGACAGAGTGGGGAACAGAACAGGCAGACTGACTGAAATACACTGCTGAGGGGAGCAGCGGGCGAGTCAGGAGAGGTCTGCTGCGCCATGTGGGTTGCTCCCTGGCCGGGGATCGAACTCTTGCAGCAGTGGCTGCCATTAGTTTCATAGGTTGCCTCTTAAACCCATGCCAGGGAGGCCCTCAATGGGAACTTTAAAGGGCTCCCAAAGTTGGATCCAACAAGGGAAGCAGGGACCCTGAAGTGTGACAAATCTGGGTGGGACAGGGTGAAACACGTCAGACTAAGGGTGTCTCAGACTGTGAAACTCTTCCAGATACTTTTCTGTGCAGGTCAAGGATATTCCTCAGGGGCTTTCCTGTGGCTCTTTCTTTCTTTCTTTCTTTCTTTTCTTTCTTTCTTTCTTTTCTTTCTTTTTTTTTTTTTTTTCTTCTCTTTCTTTCTCTCTTCTTTCTTCTTTCTTCTTCTTTCTCCTTCCTTCTTCCTTCCTTCCTTCCTTCCTTCCTTCCTTCCTTCCTTCCTTCCTTCCTCCTCCCCTCCCTCCCTCCCTCCCTCCCTCCCTCCTCCCTCCTCCCTCCTCCCTCCCTCCCTCTCTCCCTCCCTTCCTTCTTTCTTTCTTTCTTCCTTTTTTTTTTAAGATTTATTTTCATTTGGGCCTCCCCGGTGGCGCAGTGGGTTGAGTGCAGTGCTGTGAAGCTGTCCACAGCCTCTGCAGTGCAGGTTCGATTCCCGGTCGGCCAGGGAGACACCCACATGGCGTGGCAGACCTCTCCTGTCGTGCCTGCTGCTCCCGTCAGCAGTTCTTTTGGTCTGTCTGCCTGTTCTGCTCCCCACTGTGTCTCTGGTGAATCCTCTCACCCTCCTATGCCTCTGGCCTGTACCCCAGGTCTTGTATAAAAATAAATAAATCTTTACAGTTTTTAAAAAAAGATTTATTTTTATATATTTATGCATACAGGAAATGGGGTATAGGCCAGAAGTGTGGAGGTGAGAGGATTCACCAGAGACAGAGCAGGGAGCAGAACAGGCAGAGCCACTGAAATACACTGCTGAGGGGAGCAGTAGGGAGAGGTCTGCTGTTCCATGTGGGCCAGCTCCCTGGCCAGGGATGGAAAGAACCCCATGTTGCAGTGGCTGGAGACAGCTTGATAGTGCTGAAAAAAAATTTTTTTTAAAGACTTATTTATTTATACAAGAACCGGGTTACAGGCCAGATTTGCAGGAGGGTGAGAGGATTCACCAGAGACAGAGCGAGGAACAAAACAGGCAGACTGACGAAATATACTGCTGAGGGGAGCAGCAGGTGAGACAGGAGAGGTCTGCTTCGTCATGTGGGACTCTCGCTGGCTGGCTGGGAATCAAACCGGCGCTGCAGAGGCTGTGGACAGCTTCATAGCACGGTGCCCAACTGCCTGTGCCACCAGCGGAGGTCCGTGCTGAAATTTTAAACCCTGCACCACCAGGGAGGCCCCACATTTTCGCCTTTTCTCTGGCCAAAAGTTATATAGACGGATGAACTTCAGGGATCCTAAAATAGATCAACGAGGTTGGTGACTTCTGGCCCCTTTCCATCTAATTAGACATCAGTTCCTATAAATATTTTTCCCTTACCTTACAAATTCATTTATTTATTTCCATTTCTACTACTCTTCACTCATTCAAGTCCTTAATATATCTAGATGATTATCCTGGCTTTAAAGTCGAATGCTTCACCACGACCTCCCCTGCAATCCAGCTCTATCCCCTCCCCCTCCCCTTCAGATTTTCACCAAACTATCTTTTCTCCACTACTCCTGCTCAAGAACACTCTAGGATCTTTAGTGCCAAACCTTTTTGTCTGTCATTCAAGGACCTGCACACTTGGCCCCAATCTACCTTATCAAACATCAAAATTATTCTTCACCTGGGACCATAATAGCCTAATCACTATTCGAGCCAGAGACTAGCTGGTAGTGGAAAGAGCACAGCCTTGGAGTGGAATGGACTTGGATAGGACTTTGAATACTAAATATGTCATTTACTGGCTGGATGGCCTTGTCACTAAACATCTCAGAGCTTCAAATTTCTCATCTGTATATGAGGACAATAATAGTTGTAGTACTGGGGGATAATAAGTAGGGAGTACCTTGTGCATAATAACTATTATTCAATTCTTCAAAGCAATGTGTGCATTTCTGCCCCCAATCTTTACCCCCTGCTTGCTCTCTGCATGGTAGAATGCCCCTCCCTCCCACTTGGTGGAGTGGTTCACACTAGGAACAAAACCTGTTTCCTCCTCTGAATTATACCTAGATAATGGTTCCTAGCCTGTGGGCTGTAGCTTTTTGGCATGAGGGTTTCTGCATTATTGTAAGGATCCCTGGAATCCATTCATACACAGAAGATTGATCACTGAGTTAAGTAGCATGCTTTGTACATGTAGGTGTTACTATATACATCGTTGCTATAATTGTCAGAACACTATACTATACAAACTTATTTGAAAGTATTGCTGAATTCATGGTGTGTCTCTATCAGAAGATAATAAAACCATAATGTGGGAGTGGAAACCTCCAGTCTCCCACTTGAGAAGGGTGAGGAAACTATTGCTATAAGACTCATTGTCTAGGGGCCTCCCTGGTGGCGCAAGGGGTTAAGCACCACACTATGAAGCAGTGCGTGGCCTCTGTAGCACGAGTTCGATCCCAGGCCAGCAGCGAGCAACCCACATGGCAAGGCAGACCTCTCCTGTCTTGCCCGCTGCTCCCCTCAGCAGTGTGCTTCATTAGTCTGCCTGTTTTGCTCCCCGCTCTGTCTCTGGTGAATCCTCTCACCCCCTGCATCTCTGGCCTGTACCCCAGCTCTTGTATGCATAAATAAATAAATATTTTTAAAAAGACTCATTGTCTAAATAGTCACATCCACAATTTTCCTTAATTTTTCTAATTTTATCTCTTCCCTCAACTACTTGACCATAAGCTTCTAGAGGGGGGTCTGACCAGACTTCACATTATACAGTGGCTTGTACATTGCAGGTAATTAAAACTGTTACTTAATTGAAGGTATAGTTTGAAGCTGCTTCTGGACCAAGAGAACTAAGGGAGCTTATCTTTGTTTTGGGTGGCTTTTACCATGGCTAGGCTAGGACCCATCCTGCCGTGGAGGAACCCTATCTTAAGGTAGAAGCAGCCCCATTTCTGCCTGCAACAAACTGAGACCCTTAATCCTAGGAAGCAAAAGGATCCCAGTGGAAATTTCCCACCTCCTGCCTGCCCAGAGCCCCTGCCCTGAGTAGGCCCCTTATCAGGTTCCCCCTGAGTCATCCTGACCCAGAGCTGAATTTAGATGCTGGAACCTCCAGGTCCTTCCCTCCCCCATTCCAAGTAAGACTACTTTAGATACATCAGAGGAGGCTTCAGGCAAAACTTGTCACTCCAAGGCCCCTCTCCCTTTCTTCCAGTGGGACTGGTGAGACCTCTCTTCTGTCATTAGATATGATCGTAATTCCAGGTGGCCTTTCCTTTTTCAGGAGACTATTAAACTGGCAATCGGAGGGGAGAGAGGACTAGGTGAGGTGCCAGGGTGTCCAGCTTCTGTGCTAGTTTCTAGAGAAATATTATGAAAGGAGTGGGTGAGGGGAGAGAGGAAAATTTGGGTGCTCCAACTGAGGGACATAGAGAGGGTCCTCTAGATTTGGGAGTGTTGAAAGTTGAGCTTGATTCTGACCAGTGCTCCTGCTCTTGGTCACCTCCTCCCTCTTGGCCCCTCCTTCTTTCCAATAGACCCTGCCAAGTGGGGATGAAAGGGGCATTGATATTCCTTGGATGGCAGGGGGGTTGTGGGTGGTGAGGGTGGTAGTTCCCAGGCAGAAGGGGGAGGAAACTTTGGGGGTCTTGGGGGGGCAGTCTGTGCTGGTGTTGCATTTGGCAGCTCCAGTTCCATTGGCCATTGTTTCCAACTGGCCTTGTGCCCAGTCCCCGAAATGGCAACCCAGGAACCAGGCTGAAGGAGGATGGGGTGGGGACCCTAGGGGGAGGGGAGCTGGAAGGGGGGTGCAGGTGGGGAGAAATTCATTCTGATTTCCTTTTGCCAAGTCAACTTCCAGTCCCCTTAGCAACGTAAGTATTCCATTCCAGGGCACCTTCCTCTTAGGGGGACAGGGAAAGTGCATCTAGATGGGGGGCGGGCGGGGCGGGATCTAGGTGCATCTAGACGAGGGCAAGTGAGGAGTCCGTAGTGGCACACCCACCTAGGCCCTGAAGGCGCCACCGCCACCCCCATGAAATCACCGCCGTCTGGGCATTGCGATTGGGCCAGGCCGAGCCAATCTCACCCTCCTTCTCCCGGCCGGACTAGGAGGGGTTAGCGCCGAAGACACGGGGTCTCTTGGGTCCTAGCCCGGGACACAGCGTCCTCCCCTAAGCCCCCGCCCCACCCCTCTCAGCGTTAACCCCGCCCCCAGCCTGTTTACCCCTGAGTCCGAGCCCCCGGGGGTCCTCGGGCCCTCCCCCGCCCCCCCCTTGGGGCCTTGACCCGGGAGTTCCCGTTGGCCACCCTCTCCCCCTCCCGCGCTATCCCTCTATTTATAGCGGCCCCCCGCATTCCCCGCCCCCCTCCCCGCCTTGTTTTCCAACTTCTCAGGGAGCAGCCGGAGCGCCGGCGACCGGACGCGGCTGGGAAAGGAGGTACCCCGACCCTGGGCGCCCCGGAGTTGGCGCTTCGGTGCCCTCCATGCCCCCGTCCGCCCCGGGCTGGCACACCTGCCCTCCGCGGCGGCCGGACCCTCCCGCCGCGGCGACCCCAGCCCGCCGCCTCCCGCCGCCGGCCCGCTTGCAGCCGGGCGGGGGGACCGTGCGGCGTCTGTTCCCGGGCTCGCCTCCCCTACTCGCTACCTCGGAGTTTGGGGGCGAAGAAAAGTGCGACCCGCAGACCCAGGTCGCGGGTGGGGGCGAGAGCGGGCAAGGGATCCCCGCGGGGCCGGGGGTTCCCGCACACCCCGCAGCCTCCAGGTGCGGGCAGGTGTGGGGTGCGCGCGCGCCGGGGAGCCCCGGCGTTCGCTTTCTCCAGCGCCCCTCTCCGCCCCCGGCAGAGCCCCGCTTCCCCACCCGCGGCGGCCTGCTGGGGCGGGGTGAAGGGGGCGTGTTTCTTGGGGGTCTGGGCGGGTCTGCTGGGAGCTGTCGGCCCGTGGGCGTCGAGGGGCGGGCCGGGGGCGGGTCTGCGGGGAGCCCGAGCCGGGGAGGGCCGGAGAGTCAAAGGCAAGTGAAGGTGGAAGCGGCCGCCGCGCAGCAGGTAGGGGGAGGGGCAGGCCGGGGTCCCGGGGCCCGGACGGCGCCGGCCAGGTCTGCGGGCGGTTTGCGCCCGTCCCTCGGCGCTGGCCGCTGGCGGGAAGAGCCCGCAAGGAGGGGGCGCTGGGCTGCGGCGCACAAAGGCGGAGGCTGCGCGGGCGACAGGGCGTGTTTGGGGTGTGTGCGAGGCCGTGTCCGGGGTCCGGGAGCTCCGCGGCCGCCGCGCGCGGGTGTCTGTCCCCGGCTGCCCGGCGGCGTGGGCACGTGTAGGGACAGGTCCCGGGTCCTGGGCCCGAGTCCCGTCGCCTTGCTAGACTTCCCGGGGCTCGGCCCGCAGCGGTCGTCTGGGTGCGGGAAGAGATTGTGGGACCGCCCTCCTCGTTCCTCACTCGCGGGAGACTGGGTGGAGAGAAGCGAAGGCACGGAGCTTTAAAGAATTCCGTCCCCCCCACCCCCGCCCCAAATTGATGGAGGGGGACAGCCGTGCTCTGCTGCCCTCCTCTCATTCGCGAGCTGTCAAAAATCCGGGGGATCCCTTAATCCCCACTTGTACTTTGCAAATAGGGAATTGAGACCAAGAGTAGTAACCCACTGGCTTGGCCAAGGTCACACCGGTAGCCGCAGAGCCAGACTAGAATCCAGAGGTTCTGACACGGGCCTCGGCTTTCCTCCACATCAGCACTTTCTTCTCTCCTCCCCCCTGGCCTGGCCACATACCAGCTCTCTGTGTTGCCCAGCAGCCCCTCCCGCCAGTATGGATTCTAGATGAAGTAGAGAAAAGAGGCTCACCAGACTTAGGGGCTGAGATTGGGGAGGGCTAGTGACTGGGGAAGGTTGCTGACCTGGGTGGTCTGGGTCTTGGCTGAGGCTTTCTGTCCCTACAAGACCCAGGGTCTGTCTCCCATGTCATTCACCTCATTGCTTTGTTTTCTCAGACCCCGGAGCCAGGAAGAGTGAGAACCCTGACCCCTAACCTTACTGCATCCAACCAATAGGAGCCCAGTAAGTGACCCACCCCTGGGCTGCCAGGGCTCCAGCGTGCAGGTCAGCACAGGTGTCCTGCTCCTCACTGCCCCTACTCAGTTGAATGTGTGCCAGTTTATTTGCAGTCAGCAGGGAGAGTTTTGGGGAGGAAGGGAGGTATTGGGTCAGTTGGACACAGATGTCCCTTGTCTCTTGTCTCCTCCTCTTCCCTCTTGTTCATGTTAGTCAGGTCATTTTTAACCCCGTTCCCTTTTAGCTACTGACCTTGTGACTTTAGTTGAAGGTCACAGTGAACTTGAATGTTCACCTCATTGTCCCATAGGATCTTTGGAATACCCAGTTACTGAGCTGAGAGTTTCACCCCCTACCTAACTGGGAGTGTGGGGTGACCCCTAAATATAGCCTGGGAAACCCGAGCTGTGATGCTGCCCCACCCTGGAATTTCTCTCTGGGATAGGGGAGGAGGGCCGGAGATGTGGGTGTTGAGGGGCAGCACTGGGAATGGCCAGTCTGAAGAGGTATCCTCATTCCTCATTCACAAGTCCTCTCCCAGGTGGCCTGGACATGGAAGCTGGGGGAGGGAAGGGCTCTCTCTATGTCCCAGAGTAGTCTTTAGTTCCTGGGGCCCTTTGTATCCTGATATGTCCAGTGCTAGAGAAAGGAAACCAGCATTTGGGGACAGGTGGGGTATGGAGGTAACCTCCCTATCTTGGTGCTTTCTTCCTCTGCCAGGCTACCATGGCGGAGCTGCAGGAGGTACAGATCACAGAGGAGAAGCCGCTATTGCCAGGGCAGGCGCCTGAGGTAGCCAAGGTAATAAGACTCCCTCTGACTCCTCCAGCCCCAATTTCAGACCTCCAAGCATCTCCAAACTCCTGCCTTCCCCAATCCGTGATCTCATTCTAATCCGCACCCTTATTTTCTCCACCTCTACCCACGTCTCTCTCCCCATACACCAAAATTGAGGGTCCAGCCCTTGTCCTGTCACTACACTAACCTTCATCCTCTCCATGTCCCTTGTCATCTCTTTCTTTGTCCTTGGTCTCTGTCGGTCTCTCTCTACGTACTTCTCTGAATCTGTGTCTGTCTCTCCATCTGTGACTGTGTGGCTGTGTGTCTCCGTGTGTGTCTCCGTGTGTCTGTGTGTCTCTCTCCAGGAGGCTGAATTAGCTGCCAGAATCCTCCTGGACCAGGGACAGGTAACAGCGTGGGGCGGTCCCAGGGTGGAGGTGGGGCTCTCCTTCCCCCCCAGTAAAGAGAGGGCCCTGGTTTTTCCACCTCTCTTTGGTCACTTGCTTTTCATTCTAGTCCTTTCTCTTCTCTCTCTCTCCCCTTTCTTCCTCGTCTATTCACAGTTCCTTGTTGCTTACCAATCTTTCTTTATTCTTGTCCATCCTCAGAATCATCTTCTGTTGTCATCTATTTCTAAACTAAATTTTTGCTACTCCTATTTCTAATTCTCTGTCCCCTTCTTCTCCTCACCCTCTCTGCCTCCCCCCCACCCCTTTTTGCTTTTGTGGAGCTCCTCCTGTCTCTTTTCCTCTCAGCCTAACTCCTACCTAACGGTGACCTGTTTTCCTGCAGACTCATTCTGTGGAGACACCTTACGGCTCTGTCACTTTTACGGTCTATGGCACCCCCAAACCCAAACGCCCAGCAATATTCACCTACCATGATGTGGGACTCAACTGTAAGGACCTTCACTTCCCCTCCCACTCCTTTCTGGGAAGAGGGTGGGGGGGGGGATGGAGGGTACGGCCCCAGGTAAAGAGCCAGGGCAGGAAGGGAGTAGTTCTATCCTCTCTGACTGTGGTATGACAGAATAGGGTGGGTGCTGACTTGGGGATACTCTTCCCTGTCTGACTTTACTATTGGGATTATGGGGATTCTCTTTAGATAAATCTTGCTTCCAGCCGCTGTTTCAATTTGGGGATATGCAGGAAATCATTCAGAACTTTGTGCGGGTTCATGTGGACGCCCCTGGAATGGAAGAGGGGGCTCCAGTGTTCCCTTTGGGGTAAGAATTAACTCCTTCCCTCCTCATCAGACTGTGAGGCATAGGGCTAGGTGGGGAAATTCTATCAGGGGAGGAGGGAGGGAGGGCAGTGGTGATTCTGAGAGGAGATCAGTAGGGCACCCTGAGTTGGGGGCCGTGGGGGCAGGTGGGTATTTCCTTAACATTCTTTTCTTCCCCAGATATCAGTACCCATCCCTGGACCAGCTTGCAGACATGATCCCTTGCATTCTGCAGTACTTAAAGTGAGAAGCCTGGGAACCCCTCCAAACTAGATTTCTCTTTCCTGCACAAGGTGGCCTTCAAAACTCTGGTGTCCACCATGGTCCTGGCATTTTGGTCCTTTCCAGATATATCCTTCCTCCTTCCTGCCCCCACCATATTGATGACAAGAACCTTGACTTGAGATAACAGAGTAGCCCTAAATGATAGAGGAAAGGAAAAAGGAAAAGTTTATGGGTGGCCCTGCCTCAGGCTGAGGAGGGCCTACTCTGATGAGGGAAGCTAGCGAGAAAGAGGAGGGGGTAGCAATCCCTGGGGGAGCCAGGTAGACCTATCTGTTCTCCTCCCACCTCTCCTGGTGAACACTAAGGGACAGGGTGTGAGGAGGAGGAGCGAGCCAGGTGAGGCCTCCCCGGTGGGCATACCGGGTGCCGGCCACTCCTGGGCTCTGTCCGGGGCTCGGCTTTCTAGGGCATGAGGGCGCTGGGCAGCTCTGGCTCACCTCTTTGGCTGTTTCCCCATTCCTCCTGTTGTTCACTAATGTTCTCTCTATTTTGACATCTGGCTTCAAGTTCCCTCTTTCCAGTTCCTCTAGAGGAACCAGGAACTAAAACAGAACAAGTTGAACTAGCTCCCGAAAACAGAGAATGGAGAAAGAGCTGTGTAAGAAAACAGCATCTGGTTGGTTGGTGGAAGGATGTTTCTTTGCAAGACTCTAGCGCTTCAGGAGGGAGCTCGGGATAGACTTCAGGGAGCCATGCTGACTACTGGCGTCAATTTTTAGCGCCCTGGCACCTTCCTTGTCAGCCTCCCCAGAGGAAAGTTCTTTTCTGACCTTTTCTGCAACTGTGGCCTTAGGGAGGAGGGTGAGGAGTTTGGAGACCCAGAGTTTTGGTCAGCAGGGCCTATTAGACATGTTTCCCTTTCAGTTTTGCCACAATCATTGGAGTTGGTGTTGGAGCTGGAGCCTACATCTTGTCACGATATGCTGTAAGAAATAGCCCCTAGGCAAGGGAGAGGTGGTGCCAGGACCATGGTAGACGGAGTAGGAGAATACTATTGACTAGTGTGTATTGGGGGAGGAAGTGGGTACAAGGGCAGGCACCGTGGGAGCCTAAGAGTGGGTGGAGCTCAGTGGCCTTATCAAGTTATGAGGTCATAATCCAATTTTCCTTCCTTCTGCTGTCCCTCAGCTTACCCATCCGGATACAGTTGAGGGCCTTGTCCTCATCAACATTGACCCCAATGCCAAGGGCTGGATGGATTGGGCAGCCCACAAGGTTTGGAAGGGCCCATGCTGGTTGTGGGGTGTCCCCTTGTCTAGGTCCAGTAAGGTCTTACTAGTGTAACTGATTGACCTCTGACCTTTAAGGATGGGGTGAAGCTACTTTAAGGAGAGGAGCTATGTCACTTTGCCTGGGCCTCTTCTCCCTGTAATGTCCTGAGCTTTCTCGCCTGCCCTTTCCTCATAGCTAACAGGCCTCACCTCTTCCATTCCGGAAATGATCCTTGGACATCTTTTCAGCCAGGTTAGTGGTTATGGAAGATGGAGGAAGTAGAGGGGAACAGCAGGAACTTGAATGCTTGGGATGACTTCCTTACTGGGATAAGATCTGGGGGGAAGAGGGTTTCCTTCTTCTCATCCAGCATCTGTTGGCTTCTCTTCCCAATTTTAATTTTTCTCCTTCTTCTTTCCTTCAGGAAGAGCTGTCTGGAAATTCTGAATTGATACAAAAGTACAGAAATATCATTTCACATGCGCCCAACCTGGATAACATTGAACTGTACTGGAATAGCTACAACAAGTGAGTGTGGGCAGTGTATGCATGCGTGTGTGTGTGTGTACACATGTGCACACACATGTGGAGGACATAGATGCAGTGACTGGGGGTAGTGGGGAGGCATAGAGGAGGGGCAATCTGGGAAGCATGTTGTGCAAGAAGAGCAGAGTTTTGGGGGTGGAGTAGGAGTGCAGCTGTGGGACTGACCCAGTGGAAAGGACTGCAAGGAGCTGTCCCTCTTCCTCCTCTTTACTTCCCTGGGATTTTTGGATTCCCAGAATAAGAATTTTTGAGCACTTCTTTCCCCTTCCCTGCACTCTGACCAGGGACCTGGGGCACAAGTGACTATAAAGATTGTGCTTGAGGTCTGCCTGCCCTTATAGTTCCTCCTTTTAGTCACCAGTGTTTGGCTATAATTTGGGGAAGGAAGATCGCTTACATCTGGGTGGTAGCATTGCCTGCCTAACATTTCTACTCTTTCAACTTCTTACTAGCCGCCGAGACCTGAACTTAGAGCGTGGAGGTGATGTCACTCTCAAGTAAGACTTTTTTTTTAAAGATTTATTTATTTATGCATATAAGAACTGGAGCATAGGCCAGAAGTGTGGGGGGTGAGAGGATTCACCAGAGACAGAGTGGGGCACAGAACAGGCGGATCGATGGAAACACACTGCTGAGGGGAGCAGCAGGCAAGTCAGGAGAGGTCTGCTGCGCCATGTGGGTTGCTCCCTGGCTGGGGATTGAACTCGTGCTGCAGTGGCTGCGGTTAGCTTCATAGGTTGTTTCTTAACCTCTTGCACCACCACGGAGGCCCTCAAGTAAGACTTTAAGAGATAAGCCTTTTCTCCCCTTGGATAGTCCCGAGGCGCTTGCGTCCTTTCGGAGTCTTTTACTGGGAGTTTTTCTTGCCACCCCCAGCCTCTCCTATTTAGCAAATCACAACCTTCTAGATCTTCCTTGAATCCTTTTGGTGGGTTAGTGGGACTGGAAGGCTATTTCCTCTTTGGAGCCAGATGTTTTTCCAGCTGCTCTTCTGAAAGGGAGTGCCAGGGCTCATGGCCTCCTCCCCGACACTGTGCCTCCAGGTGCCCTGTGATGCTGGTGGTAGGAGACCAAGCACCCCATGAAGATGCAGTGGTCAGTGGGGAATTATCTGGTAGATACGGGAGGGCTGGCTGCGTAGGGGGGTGGTCAGTGGAGTATTTTTCCAAGAGGCAAGTTCTGTTTAGGACAAGGAGAGTAACTTTGGGGCATAAGAAGTTGATTCCTGGTAAGGAGATGGTAGGGGGACAGATGGGAATGGAACTGGGGGTCTGGGTGCCTGGGTCCCTTGGATGGGAGGGGCCGTGGGGATGGTGACCTCATTCATTCAGTCTACCACTTACTCCAGGTGGAATGTAACTCAAAACTGGACCCTACCCAGACATCTTTCCTCAAGGTCAGTAACCCTGCTACTTCATGCCCAGCCTGACTCCTGGTCCCCTGTCCAGAGCAATGTATCTTCTCTAGATTCAGCCTCTAGGCCTCCAGGGTCCTGCATGGGAGCAAGTGAGGTAAATGAAGTGAAAACAAAACCCTAAGGGCCTAGAGTGAGGATGCCTGGGAAGAGAGACCCCTTTCTACTTCCCTGCAGGGCTCATTAAACTTACACGTGCATTAATTTTTTTTTGGTGGCTCTTTTATGAACAGATGGCTGACTCTGGAGGTCAGCCCCAGCTGACTCAGGTGAGTACCCCTTTCATCCATGGGATGGGGTATTAGGGCACTGAACTGTGCCCTTTTCCACACACTCCAGCCCCACACCTGCCGTGACCTTGGGCTCAGTTCCGCTTCTAAGCTCACCGCCTCCCTTTCCTCATCTACTTCCATAGCCAGGCAAGCTGACCGAAGCCTTCAAGTACTTCCTGCAAGGCATGGGCTACAGTGAGTATGGGGGTTAAAGACTGTCACAAGGAAGGGGGACTGCTGCCCAGGAGGAAGGATGGGTGCTGAGGGGGAGGAGCCAGTGTAGGTTAATTCTTGGACTTCATGTGCCTGATCAATCTTGTTGACACCCTGGCCCCCTTTACAACTCTTGCCACCCAAGAACTCCACTCTGACTTGCCAGCCTCTCTTCTCCATCTCCCCTCTGACTGCCTCCATATCCTTCTGTCTCCACAGTGGCCTCTTCCTGCATGACTCGCCTGTCCCGGTCTCGCACAGCCTCCCTGACCAGCGCAGCGTCCTTTGATGGCAGCCGGTCCCGCTCACGCACCCTGTCCCAGAGCAGCGAGTCTGGGACTCTGCCTTCGGGGCCCCCAGGGCACACTATGGAGGTCTCCTGTTGAATGACCCTTGTTGCCCTGGTGTGGGACCCGACCCTCACCTCCCCCAGCACTAACCTGGGAGGTGCATAGGGCATTGGGCCAGAGTGAGCAAGGGAGGAGGGGCAGATCGTGTGGGAGATGACGTTGACTTTGATTGCTACCCTAATCTTGACCTCTAACCTGTGATTCCCCTCAGCTCCTGGGAGAGATGTCCTAATATCTCTTAGGAACCCAGACCCTTAAATTCTCCCTCTCCCTCATTCTGGTATTAAGGTGGAGAGGGCATGTATTCCCTCTCCCTGTTCTAGGTGTCCATAGATGAAGGATAAGAGGTTTTGGTAGTTGCCTATGGTGTCTCCACCAGACTCTGCCCTCCTGATCTAATATTGCAAGGGGAGGGGACTTGGGGCTGGGTCTCCATTCACCAAAGCGATCTCTGAAGGGCCTGGGTCTAAATGAATGTGCGTCAGGGGAGGCTTGCTGGTGGGTCAGTGGTCCTCAGGACGTGATAGAAACATCCGGTGTGTGAAATGGAAGTTGGAATGGGAGGTGGTGGGCAATGAACAAATATGAAGGAAGGATTAGAGCCGGGGCAATGGAAAGGGGCCTGGGGCCATTGGCTGCACTAACTTTGGTAGCTGTCTAGACAGTGTGTGTCTAGAGTGGGTGGGGGGAGGGAGCCAAGCTGGGCAGGGCTGCTTGGGGCTTGGCATAGGGGGGTGGGAAGGGCTACCTTGAGCTCTGACCACATAGTGTCTTCTGTGTGGAGAGTGCCCTCCTGTCTCCCACAATTTCTGCTGTAACAATAAATTGTAGAGGAATAGGAACATCATTCTTCTTCATCTGAGTTTGCCTGCATCATGCCACTTTTTCCTACCTTCTCCCTGCCCAACTTGCATATTCTCTTCTCAAAGTGACGTAAACCATAGGAAAGGACTCACAGAGCATAGAGACTTGACAAAATGTAATTGCATAATCACTGGCCCACTATTCCAACAGAATGTTATTGTACTTGATAATACTTTCAAATATGGGAGGCAGGAGCTGCTTAGATCTTAGAAGACTTACTGATCAGTTAGACATCATTGAGATGCCATAGGACCTCAGAGAGAAAACCAACATGATCTTAGAGAAGGAAGTAGAGGCAGTTGACTGAAGTGGCCAAGGCTATCCTTGATCATCTCCTTCTGGGCCCCACCACGGGTGACCTAGATTCCGTTTTGGGCAGATCAGTACAACCAGTACATGGAGGCAGGGCCTGGAGGGGTCGGGGTGCTCACAGTCTACTCCAATCTGAAAACTCCTTCCAGAGAGTCACAACACAAAAGAGGAATTTCTCCTTCCTCATAAACCCAAGAATTTGGGAGTTAATCAGACCATGTTTGTCATTCTCTGGGAAGCTTTTCAACAACTATGAATAATATTAAGATTTCAGATGTTTTGTGTCTGTTATAGGTTGACTCTTGGGCTCTTGACACACAGAAAGAAAAATCCGGGCTTAGGTTCTTCGTAGCACTAAGGGCACTGTGGGGCACTCTGGACGGACTGCTACAGCTCTTTTGCCAGACTACATTAAGGACAACCACAGACAGCTATACACTTTTCTCAAGGAATCTGAGTTGAGCACTAAAGCAGCTTGATGTTTGGTGCTTACACACCGACGGGGGTGTGGGGATGGTCTTGATTCTTGAGCTTTTTATCACTCTCTCATAAGAGTGAGTCTATTTTAAATGCAGTGGAGCAGGATCAGTAGGGGCTGGGGATATTACGCAACTAGCAGGGTGACAGAGCTAGCTATTGAAGGCCAGGGGTGTGTTGGGTGACCACACCCAAGGCCAACAGCTATGAGTGCTTAGATGCCACACTAAAGGAATGGCATATTGAAGTCACTAACAAGCTCCGAGGTAACAAAACAAGGAAAAGGCAAAGAACTCCTAGCAGCTTCAGCCTCAATTTACAGTAGCTGCTGTTGTGCACCATGGAAGGGAAGGCAGAACTTCTCAGCACATTTACCTAACAGATGATGATGTTAGTCTTCAAAAGGGGGGAAATTACAGTGATGTGAGTACATGGGTATGTATACGGAGTGGGAGTGTCTTTCTCCTAGGTGCCTCTGCAGGAGACGCCCAAACGTTAGGTAGAGGGAAGGAGGCTTCCTGCAGGGAGAAGGGAGAGGGCTTTGTTGTCCTTCACTAACCTCTCTACTGTATTGGTCTTGACATTGCTATGAGCCGGCGGGGACACAGTGCCCTCCTGTGGTTGGCAAGGTTCTATGGCACTTACTGCTGAGGGAGGGCCTGAAACCAGGGTCTGTGGATCCTGTCTATTCTGGAGATCAGCACTCAAGGCTCAGAGGAGAGGTTAGTGACACCCCAGAAATAGAACCATAAACTCCCTACTTTTTATCTCTGCTTCAGGGTTAGAACTCCTGTTTCCTTCTTCTCATTCTCCAGAAACATATTTCCCTGACTTTAGGGCCAGAAGCCCCAATAACTAGAGAGGGCCCAATGGTAAGCAGAATGAAACTAGAAGAATGGAATGACAAGGGCCTCATAATTTCTCTTTGAAAATTCTGAATCTCCTGAAGAGATTTTTCTTATTTGTATTATTTAGTTCAGTTACAGTACACTATAGCACCTGTTTCTTATATAATGTTCAGGTTTTGCATCACTACAAATCAACATGTGTATATATAACATGAACTTTATCACTCGAAGTCCAGTTCCATCCATGAAGAGATTTACTTTTAATTTTCTTACATTGTTCATTTTTGTACAATAGTTGATTTCCCCCTCAGGTGTAGTCCCCATAAATCTCCCACCATATCCCCTGTGTATTGTCATCACAGTCCCCTGTACTGTCCCCTCCATTTTGACCCCCTCCCTCCTCCTTCCCTGGTGCATGCCTCTACTTGCTAGTTCTGTCTTTTTTTTTTTTTTTTTAAGATTTATTTATACAAGCACAGGGTACAGTGAGAAGCGCAGGAGGGTGAGAGAATAGGTCTGTCTTTTTTTTTTTCTGTTACCCTTTATTCGGTTTCCCTACATTCCTCCTATAAATGAAACCATCCGATATTTTTCTTTTTCCTCATGAAGAGATTTTAAAGGGTGATTCTCTGAAGATGCTTATGAAACAGTGAAACTGTAGCAGGAGAGACGGACATTAAATTTTAAACAGTGCTCCTTCAGAAGTCAGAGAAAGTGCCAGAGTGGGAGACGCTGCCTTTCTAGAGAGTTTTTAGGACTGACAGGATAGTGAGAATCAGCTCTGACTAGAGGCCAGGGGTGTGGCTGGGAAATGTTGCCCAGAGCAGTGTAAGTTGTTTTCACCCTCTTGCCTCAGAATTTTCCTAAATTGGATAAATACATAGTAAAGTAGAATGCATTATATAGTTGATATTCAGCAAACCTGAAGAGAGGAATTCAGAACAAAATTGAAATAAAGGAAACAATCTACAACAGGAGTCTTTGAGCATCCCCACAGACTGAGGTGTGGAGCAGAAGCCCTGATGCAGCCCTTTGGCTTCATTGTTGCCAGTGGCCATCGGCCATGGAGAGTGTGTGTGTGTGTGTGTGTGGGGGGGGGTGTATGTGAGGGTGTCTGGCTCTTTGGCACACTCCTACACACCCATCCACCCCGATTCTGGAAGCCATTCTTTGTACTCCATCTGATCAGGGTCAGGAGCAAGGAAACGTTTCCTTTCAGGAAGGAGGAAACCTGTCCATCAGGATTCGGGGGGGACGTGGCCCAAATTGTCCCACAGAGTTGTCTGAGCAATTTGGGTTTTGCCCCACGGAGTTGTGTGTTGGTCTCTGACTGACCGCCCACCTGCTCAGGGATATTCCCTTAACTCTGGTTGCTCTTTAATGCTGTTCTCATCTTCCCTTCACACATTATCTCAGAACCCAACATCCAAAGCCAACCCTCCTCCTGTGAGCAGAGGTGCGGGGACCTCTGCTGGTGGCAGAAATGGAAAGCTGGCTCTCCTGGGAGGGCATTTGGAAGTCTCATTCTCTTGCGTTGTTTTGTTTCTGCTCAGATATCTAAACTATGAAGAATGAGGGATGGGGAAGGGACACAGGGATTGAAGAGACGTGAAGACTATTCTACAAGCATTCTGTGACTATCTCAGTTAGCACCTCCTCTTTTGCTTTTCCTCGTGTTGCAGGTCTCTCCCCTGTTTTAAAATTTCAACTCTTGTGATTCTAATTTTCTTCAGTGATAACCTGTCTTAAGGCTGAGTGAATTAAAGTTCACCCCTGAATCTGGCTTCTAGTCTCCATACCCTTGGGTATCTCAGCTCTCCTTCCCATTGTTCTTATGGTGTTCTTACTGCATCCTTCCACTTCTCAGTCTCACTCAGAGCCATATTCATCTTCTCCCTTACAGCCTCTCTGGCTCCTTGTGGGGATATTTGAAAATGATCAGATGGTTTTCTTTTCCTGATCCTTGATACTGTCTGTGGAGCTGTCTCTGAGCTTATTCCAGCTCTTGATACGCTAGGCTTCAAACTGAAGATGGTGCTGGTCCTGGCTGTAAGGACCTTGGGGAGGGGACAGGGCATGCTGGTGGGAAAGAGGAAAGCACTCATGGCTGACAGCAGAGGAGGCTAAGAGGGAATCTGGCTCTTGAGATTGGATGGGAGGCGGCAGATAGTGCATGACTCACCCATGCTTGAAATCTCCCAACCTCTGCTCATTTACCTCCAATGTTGATAGCATCAGTGACCCAGAATCATAGTGAAGGGCCTGGAGGGTAATGCACTCTCCTCAAATCTCCTTTCTATAGCCATACACATCCTCTGTACTCAAAATTAGGTCTGAAATGTCCACACAACTGTGACCCCTCGAATTCATCCTTCCATTGTCCTGGCAAGATCACTTGAGTTAAAAGCAGCAGAGAACTGATGGTGTGTTAGACATGTTTGAGCCTTCAGATTTCTTTTTTTTAAGTTTTATTTATTTATTTATACAAGCACTGGGTATGTCAGAAGCACAGGAGGGTGAGAGGTGAGAGGATTCACCAGAGACAGAGTGGGGAACAGAACAGAGCCTTCAGATTTCTTTATGACCTGTGCCTCATGAGGTTGATGTATTTACAGTGCACCAACAGACATTTTTGTCCTTTAGAGGCTGTCTGTGTATGGCTGATAGGAGATATTGGCAGTAGGTCAAAGAGGAGAATGACAGATTTCTCTGGCTTCCTCATCAAGTCCCTGCAGGTTGGTTGTGTCCCTCTACCCAAGGCCATAGTACTTGATGGTTGGCTGCTTCTAGTCTCTGGAACTGCTCCCTTGTCTTCAGGCGAGGCAACAACATTTTTATTAAGTCACGGGGTATTGCACCATCATTTGTTGCTCAGTTCAAACCCTCCCACATGTTGCTGCACTCTCCTTTTATTAAACTTACCTCAATCTCCAGTGTGCTATCTGCTTTCTTCCTAATCCTAACATGTAAAATGGTGAGGAAAAAGTAAGGTAAAGATATTACAGGTAAAAGTAATGAAGAAGAGAGTCTATACAGTTGGGCTTTAAATTAGAATCATAGGGAGTTTGGGATTCAGCTGCTTTTTTTGAAATTTGAAAACAAATTTACTTAATTTTTTTGAATGCACATCCCTGGATTTACTGTGGGGATTGTTACCTACCTGGCAGGTGGAGAAGGCAAGAATGTATATGAGAGCGACAGCACAGTGCCTGGCACATAGCAGTTCTCAGCATGGAAACTCTTTTTTATCACTACTACATAATAGGCACTGCTGAGTCACCACATGTGTGTCTTCAATACTGAAGGGAAAACAGAATAGGATGGTGCTTCAAGAAAATGATGTCCTGTGTCAGATGTTTTAATTGTTTTACCTGAAGCTTTTGCCCTCTCACTCATCCAGGGGTGTGCAAGCTGGCCTTGTGAGGAGGTTTGTGGATCTTAATTTGTAGGTGGAAGAGTGGGCTGGACAGCAGACAGTCAGGACAAGGACCCTCAGGAGTCCCTGTCCACATGTAGGCACTTGGGCTCCCACAGTGAATGTGTGAGAGGGGTGAATGGTGAGGGCGATGAGCTCGTGGGATGCAACTTTTCTTTCCCTATTTCTTGCTAACTCTGACACAACCCTTCCATATGGGTCAGGGGCTGGTCAATAGTTAACCTGATCCTCCTCAATTCCAAATAGTCAGTGTGCAGAGAAGTAGCACACAAAGGGCTTACGCAAACTGGAGACAAGTGGTCTAGGGGGAGGGTCAGGGGCATAGGGGCAGGCAGGTGGGAAGAGTCAAGTAGTGAAGGGCAGCATTTATCTGGTGCTTCTCTCTCTCTCCAAACACTCTGCTTCCTGCCCCTCCGCATGAGGCAGCTGGAAGGAGACTGAGACTCAAAGAAGAGCAATATATGAGGGCACAGAGTGTATATGAGGGCACAGAAGGAAAATCGGGACCAGATGCAAACAGGCTCCTTTTAACTTGATCTCAAGGGTCTACAGCACGTGCTGTGACTGATAAGAGGTAAAGTGGTGGGACGGGTGTGGTTAGTGTGGGGAAAATCTAGATCCCCATGGTTTCTATATGTAAACCTCTCTAAATGCTGGAAAGGCTGGTTCAGTTTCTCAACACCTGCGGGCAAGATGGTAAGGGGTTGATGGAATTTCAGCAATGCTCTCATGTTTGGGGGTCATGGCCTGCAACTGACAAGAGTGGCAGGAGCCCTGGCTCCAGAAGGAAACACTGCATCTACTGTTACCTCCCAATCCCCTCTACACCACTGCCTGTGCCAGGCAGCATCTAGACAACCACAGAAATAATGTATAACATGGCTGAGGGAACGGTAAAATGGCATTTTATTACACACAGCAGCATATTTGGGACAAGAGTCAAATCTGGAGTGACGGTCTTCATGTTAATTCTCCAGTATATAGGAGCTTAACTTAAACATCCTTTTCTTTCAGTCCTCGATGAGAAATGGCATCTCATGTAGGGAAAAACTGGGGTCCAGCTTATGCGGATGCAACATGCTTGGAGAAGCAGGAAGGCGCCAGATGCCTAATGAAAGTCACTTAGTGTCAGAGAAGAAAAGTCTGCGGTCGAAACCATTTGGCACATGTTCCCTGGAGGTGGGGAATCAGGAAAGTGAGGAATCTCTCAGGCCCACAAGGCAATAAAAGCCATGAAAGCAAAACCAGCAGCTACACAGGCCCACTTGGCCAGAGGGATCTCAGAACCAGCTAGCTCCCGGGGCAGAATTTCTAGGAAGGTAACATACAGAAAGGTGCCAGCTGCCACCCCCTCTAACACAGCCTGGGCTAAGCCTCGGCCCCCTTCAGCATCTCCTTGAGCCACAGCCAGCCCTACTGCCAGGCCCAGGGGGGACATGAGAGCTAATGACAGGATGGAGAACATGGCCCACCGTGACTGGGTGCCTATCCTCACCAGCCGCAGCCCTACCCCGAACACCACAAGCCCCTTGTGAGCGAGGACTGCAAGACAGAGCTGCACGGTAGATGCGACTGTGGGCTGCAGCCCCACAGCCAGCCCTTCAAACACTGAGTGAAAGGAGAGTGAGAGCAAGAGGACAAGGGCTCGAAGGGGACCCTGAGAAGGCGGGGGTAGAGGTCCGTGGCTGTGGAGGTGAAGGACATGAGCACCACCCCACTCCTCCTCTTGCACTGTCGATCCTTCAGCGGTCCCGGGACAGCACTGTAACACCAGCGACTCCAACAGGAAGATGAAGAAGAAGCCCAGGGAGATGACGAGCTCTCCATAGGGGTACTGCATCTAGGAAGAGAGAGAGGGGCTGGGAGATGAGAAAGGAGGGAGACTGAGGAGAATGGGAGATGGTGGTAATAGAACATGAAAAGGGGAGGGGACTGCAGTCCAGAGTAGGTACAGACATGCAACAACATATCCTATCAATAGGGCTAGAATATGGGAAATGCCAACAGTGAGTACCAAAAAGGAGGCAGAGAAAAAGGAACCCTTTACACGGTGGGAATGTGAACTAGTGAAACCATTGTGGAAAGCATAAATATAGATTTATCTTAAAAATTTAAAAATGGGGTCTCCATGGTAGTGCAAGGGGTTAAGTCTTAGCACTATGAAGCTATCGGCAGCCACTACAGCACACGTTCAATCCCAGGTCAGGAAACTAACCCATATAGCGCAGCAGACGTCTCCTCTCTCACCCACTGCTCCTCTTAGAAGTATATTTCAGTAGATCCACCTGTTCTGTTTCCCATTTCTGGTGAATCCTCTTACCCCAAAACCTCTGGCTATACCCCAGCTCTTGTATGCATAAATAAATCTAAAAAACAAACAAACAAACAAACAAAACTTAAAAATGGAAATACCGTATGAACTGGCAATCTCATTCTTGGGATATATCCACAGAATATGAAACCATCAACAAAAAATCCTTGTGTTCACAGCATTATTATTATTACTTAAAGATTTATTTATTCATGCATATAAGAACCGGGGTACAGGAAAGATGTGCATGAGGGTGGGAGGATTCACCAAGACAGAGCAGGAAACAGAACAGGCAGACTGAAGAAATACACTGCTGAGGGAGCAGCGGGTGAGACAGGAGAGGTCTGCCTTGCCATGTGGGCCAGCTGGGCCTCGAATTCGTGCTGCAGAGGCTGCTGACAGCTTCACAGTGCTGCGCTCAACTGCCTGTGCCATCAGGGGAGGCCCCACACAGCAGCATTATTTACAACATCTAGGACACAGAAGCAGCCTAAATCTCCTTCAATGGATGAATAGATCAAGATGTGGTACATCCACACCATGGAGTAGTATACAGCCATAATGAAGAATGAAAGGCCACCATTTTCAAGAAAATGGCAATTTGAGAGAACTATGTGCAGTAAAGAAGTCAGAACCATAAAAACAAATATTGAAGTTACAGAGTAGACAATTTGACAATAGTAAAACACTTCAAAAATTAAAGGACGTCAACATATATTGTGAGGGCTCTGAGATCAAGAGATGAGGAAAGGGACAAAGGAACATAAGGGATGACAGTGGGGAAAAAACAACCCATGACACTTTCACTGATCTCATGCTTTCCTGAAAAAACTATGGTAATCAATAAGGGACATCAGAGTATCACAATAAAGGGGTGCCAAGAAGCAGCATTACATTATTACAGGGGAGTAATCCAGAGCCAAGTAAAAACCAATAGCAGACTGGGGTTTAATTTTATTTTCTGCAGATGAGCTATTAGGGTTCCTGTTCATCAGAGCAAAAATTGCTTATGTTTATAGTTAAATGGTATACATCAATTAAAATTATGTCACATTTTTGTTTGCTTAGTATTTGGAACATGATTTTCCAAAAAAAAAAAAAAAAAAGGATAATATCAAACATGTCAAGGTTGAGAAAGAACGGACATGAAAAGCAAGAGCTTTTTCCTGGGATTCCATCAACCCAAAGGACTGGCTTGGCTCCTCTTTTCCTGTGTGGTGTTGGAGCTGAGGAACAGGAGGGGTCCTGTATTCCTCACTCACTGCCCTCTAAAGGGTCAGGTTATGAAAAGGAGCTTCTGGTTCTCCATGTCTTCCAGGTAAGGCCGGTGGGAGATACTTACATGTGCCGAATCAGGATCATCAGGCTTTCCCTTACTTTCCGTCCTGTTCTAGGGAGGAAACAAAAGCAGCAATTGAACAGGGTCAGTACAGCTCAGCTTCCTGTCCTGTCCTCAGCACCACTGCTTTTCTTAAAGCTCCCTGGCCTGTTTCATCACCCCACTCAACATGGCAGATGTGCACCTTCCCTTTGCTCCGCCCGTGTCCTTGGCTCCATCACTCGCCCCCTTTCTTCTCTTGGTTCTGTTCATCTTTGGCTTCACAGCCCTGCAGCTCAGCCTTTCTGCTGCTCACCTTCTCCATGAGCCTCTGGATCTCTGACTCAATTCCCTCCAGGGCTTCAGCGGTCATGTGCATAAGCCCTGCTCCCAGGAAAACACCGGCAGAAATGCAGCCAAGGAGGCTGAGGACTCGGCGGTGACGACCTAATACATAGCAGGAGTGAAAATCCATTTGGCCATGAGGAGAGAGATAAAGGATTGAAGATAAAGACTAAAGGGTAATAGGCAGTGCCCTACTTGTCCAGCAGCTTCGAGTGGTGGGAGAATCATGATAGGGTGATGGGGTGAAATCAGACCAGATTACATGGGGATAGACATATGGGAGGGCTATACCTGTGGCTGCATCAATCTTGAACCATTTGAAGCAGATGGGAATCAGGCCACAGAGCAGAGTGAGGACCAGCAGAGCAAATAGACAGCCAATTTTTACCCCTAGCAGTGGTTCCATCCTTGGGGTACAGGGTGAGCAGGGACTTCAGAATGACAAATGGAGTTACAGTCTTTGGAGCAGGAGTAGTGTCTTGGGTGGTCAAAGCCGGAGGGTCCACTTCCTGAGTTCCAGAAGTCTGTTGGATTCCTCTTTCTGCTCTGTGCCGCCTCGGCTTGTGCTACCTTGCATAGGTGACTGGGGCCCTGCCCTTGCCCGCAGGCCCCTCCCCTGCCTCAAGCCTTCCTAATCTTGGAAACCAGAAACTCCAGACTCCCTGCCAGGCGCAGCCAGTGCTCTATCTTCTCCTCCTCTTCAGTCCCATGACTAATTCAAGTCTGTGGACAGTCTTAGTTCATGCTGGGACTGGCTCAATCCAAAATGGGGCAGTCTATGATAGTGACTTCCCAGTTGCTTGTCTTGGGGACAATCTGGGCTTGCCTCACTCAGGACATTTGATCTAAGCCTTCTATACCCTCCCCTTTCCACCCCCACCCCAAGACTTAGAGGTTGCCATGCTGATACCTGAACCAGCACCCTTTCAGAGGGGATTTGGGGCCACCTGGGGGTAAGGAGGAGGTGGGGCTGAGAGGTGATGCCATCACCATTCTGTGAAAAATAGCTGATGAGGGGACTCCCCTTTTCTCTAACTCCAGAAAAATACCTCCAGGCATGGAAATGTCTAGTGGGAATTGTGACTTCTGGTATTACAACACTGATACTATTACACCTGACTGTAACTGTTTCTGATACATGTTGTGGGAGAAGAATTGTTGTAAGACAAAGTTATGTCGTAAAGCAGCAAGGCTTAAGTGAAAACAGAAATGATCCAAATAAACTGAAGATCCTGCCTGGAAATACAGGGTAGAGAGGAAAGTTTCATTATTGATGGGCATTCACTCTTGAGAGAAAACAATGCATGAGGTAAACTCTGGAGGAGCTGATGAACCCTGAGAAAGACAGAAGGGAAGGAGGAAGAAAAACAGAGACTAGGCAGTTGCTGGTTCCCCTAAACAGATGGCCCACAAACAGCCCTGAGACCTGTTGGGCCAGTTCTCAGAGAGCTGGGGGTGGCTTTCCCACTATCCCAGAAAGGGATTCAGAACAGCCTCCACTTTTGGCATGCAGATTGTTTTGTGCCGAAGGCGACTGAGACCCTGAAGGGTTGAGAAACTTTTGTGTCTCCCTTTACCACCAAGAATTTAGATGGGGGCCTTGCCATGAGTTATTTCCCCAAATAAATGTTTATGGCCTACCCACATGGCAGGGTAAACATTTAATTACCAATATTTGACAGTCTCATCATCCTGTGAATTTCCCTGCTCCCCTTCAAAGCTTTAGGTCCCCAAAACTTGCTTTTGACTGTCCCTAAGCTCTCACGTATGTGGGGTTCCTATAGACACAAAATTAGTTTTCTTCTGCTAATCTGTCTTACGTTAATTTATTAGACCAGGTCAAAGAACCCTGAAGGGTACAGGATGATTTTTTTACTCCCCAGCACCTCCTGGGAAGCGTGGACTTTTGTAGAAGTGCAATATTCTGCAGGAAGGGATGAGCTTGAGATTTGTGTGGGAAGAGAGGCATTGAATCCAGATTCTTTTAACTACAGGATAGGCCATGACAACTGACCTCCATACCTTTTAAGAATTACAAGATCCATTTTCAATATTTGAAAACTTTTTATTATTATTAAAATCTCAAACACACACAGGTATATAGGAATACCTGTACTCCCACCCTGGATACCAGGTAGCTTTCAGCCTTGACAGGCATGAGAAGAACATTTTTGTTACACAACCTTGTCAGCTTTTAGGGGATCTGTAGCAGGGGATGGAGAAGGATCAGATGGAGAAATCACAGGTAAAAGATCTCCCCAGGAGCTCACACGGGCACAGCGGTACAAATCCCTAAGGAAAAGAGAGGTTACAGTGGCCTTAGGGTTCTTGCCACCTCCCACAAATTTTGTTCACACTCACTATACCTGCCGTGCCGGCGGGCTGTAATCACAGCATGCTGCATGTGCCCATCTGGACAGCACATGTGACAATGCACATGGCGTGGCCGCCGAAGGACAGGCTGAGTGATTCGGGGCCAGCGATTAGTCTCCTCTGGTGAACCCCGGGCAAGGATTACCATTGAAAACTTTTCTTCTGTTGGCTTTTTGTTCTAAGATAAAGATACGGAGACTGCTTAGAGAAAAGAATTATGGGAAAAAGATTCTGGACTCCCTTTCCTTTGGCTTTTTCACGTTCTACAAGTCATGCTCATTCAGGTCCGACAATCTCCAGCCTAGTCTCTGAATTCTCCAACTCCTTCTGCATCTGACTCTTTTTCTTCCTGTTTTCCCAGGTTGTTTTTTTCCTGCTGCAATACTGTCAGTAAGATACATACCCAACTGAAGGGAATAGGATGGTAAGCCTGGGAAAGGCTACAGGCCAGAGGCTTAGAGGCTGTCAACTGGGGACACGGAAGTTCATGAGGACACTGTGAATGGAGAAAAGACATGAGGTAAGATAAAAATCCAAGCATCATAAAACTGAAAAACTAAGATTGAGAAAGTCAAGACAGGTTAGGGATAAAAAGCATAGGAACAGGGCAGGGACAGCCAGGAGCATCATGAAGAAGAAACGGATAGGGGAACAAAGGAATAGAGTTACACTCTCACTCTTCCTGGCCACAGCCGAGTTTAGATCTTTCTATGCTGGGAAAGGTAGAAGTAATACTCACTGGGGCAAAGACAAAACCAGGTTGAGAATCCAATGGTGACTTCTCTTTTCCCTGAAATGAAAAATATTAAGCTGGGCTTGAGGGGTCTCATCTCATAATTCAATCTCTGCATTCCGTAAACTGAGGACTCCTTTAACATTCACTTCTAGTTATTATTAACTATGTTCCTTAAGTTAAGCTGGCTGCTTCTCTAATACTCCAAACAAAGAACTTTCTTTTTGCAGCAGGAGAAAGGCAGGAACTTGGCACACTGTATGGTAGCTCCTTTGTCAGCAACCTCCACTTGCAAACAAATCCCACTCCAGGACAATTAAATTTATGATTATACACTGGCTCATACTGGTCCAAGGAGCTTAGGTTCTTGGCGCAGCAATGCCCTAGATCAGGGTGGGCAAACGCTTTTTCCCCCCCAAAGGCCCGGAGAGTAGGCAAAATTGGCCTATGGCGCAATTACTGAACTCTGCCATTTGTACTATGAAAGCAGTCACAAACAGACATACAAATAAGTGTGGTTCATACAAAAACAGGTGGCAGGCTGGATTTGACCTGCAGGCCTGATTATGCCAACCACAACCCTATATACTGCCTTTCTATGCCTAGAATTCAGAGAGTCATCCTTAGCACTATATGACAGAGTCTATACTGCTTTCAAGAGGGCCAGCTGCAGGGGAACAGTGAAAGAAGAAGCTTACCTTAAGAATCAGGTCCCTGGCATCCATGAGAATACGGTGGCCAGCTTTTGTCCCATTTTCCACCAGTATCTGTTCACAAAAGGGGAAAGAAAGCAGAAGCCTTAAAATTCACAAAAGCATAAGTATCAGTAGCTGTGTAACAGCATTCCTAGACACAGTGGGCATTATACAGAAATGGGAATTTTATACAAGGTGGGAGTGGAGCCCTTTAAGAGGGATAAAAGGATCTATTCAGGGGAAGAGTGGTCAAGAATAAAGTTCCAGTGGAGAGAAGGAAAGGCATGAAACTGCTTTAAAATTTGAAGGGAAAAAGGAATTGCACCTCACCAGAAAACGACTTGTCTTGCGCCATAAGGTTTGGACTACCTCAGTGCGGTCAGCTTTAGTAGGCAATTCACTCAGGGAAAAGGCTGATACCACCACATCGAATTGCACCTGAGGACCAAAACAAGGAACATGACAGAGCCGACACCTCTACATCCTAAGAGGACTACAAAGCTCTACCCCCTACATTTCTTCCCTTTTCTTTTCTCTTCTAACACTCAATGCTGTAAAAGCTGTGGCCACAGATTTCTGTCTGCCAAATTCCATTTAGCATATTCTAAACATTACTACTTGCCTTGGGTGATACTGGCAGAAACTGTCTGAAAAAGACACCTGGAACATAAGGTTCCCCAGATTCTGAACCACCTGTGGAAGAAAGTGGAGATGTGGCAACTATGAATGTATAGGAATAAATTGAAGTGACATCCTGTTAAGAAACATGACCCTGAGAATAAAGAAAAATGCTAAGTGAGAATGAGATGTGCCAGAGTAAATAAATACTAAAATGAGCAGGGAGAATATTTGGTCTTCTGTCCTGTTAATCCGAACTATCCATAGCCCAACAAAGGCCTTTATACCACCCTCTTGTTGACCACAATGTTGGATTAGACTCATCTTTAACTCTTAGCCCTCTTCTCTACTCCCCACAAAAACCTTTCTAGTATTCCTATATTTCTTAAGGCCTCTGACTTTGGAAAGCCTTTCTTTACACCTTGCCCTCACCTTTCAGTAGTTTTTCTGCCAAATCCAACATGGCAGCTGAACTGTCCACACACATATATTCATGTATGCTCTGGCCCCACGTACTGTGAGCAGCCCTACAAAGGCAAAATATAAATTACCAGTTCGCCATGACAAAGAGTCATCCCTATACTAACTCTACCCCTGAAGAAACAGAATGCTATGTTAAAAAAATTGGAAAAACTAATAATGCTATTTTCTTATTTCATTTACAGTTCCTCACGACAAAAGTCAGATTCAAAAAACAATCTGTTGGCAAAACAAAAGCAAAAGTCTGATGATATAGAAGACCTATGCCCCACGTTCATTTCCTTTCCTTTTAAAAAACTAGGTTTTTTTCCTTTTAAAACTAGGTTCAGTCTTTTTTTTCCCCCTTGACATTTCTTTTAAGTTCATATGCTTTCTCAGGTTTTGTCTAATCTGAGGGAAGAAACATTCTAGTTCCCAACTTTCCTATCTCCTTCTGGTTTCCCTGACTCCTGATACTAGAGTGGAGTAACAAACACGGCTGTCTAGAGCTAGAATTGGCAGGCAAGGCAGACAGAAGAAAGATACTCACCAGATGACAGAGCCAGTACCTGAGCCAAAGTCCATCAAGGTTTGTGGCTGGAACTCTGGAACTCGAGACCGGATCTGAAGAAATTTAAAATACCCACAGTAGAGTATGTAGATTCTTATTGAGGGGACCATGGAATGAAAATGTAATGAATTAGGGGAAATGTAATGAATTAGGGGACCATGGCAGAGAAAATGTAATGTCTTTTGAGATTCAATGTAAATACTTTGTAGAATAGGAAGCTCCTAAAACAGCAATTCAAAACTTTTCTTGGGTCATAAAATCTTTTCAAAGGGAAAACATAGTCTGTTAGGGACAAAAAAAAAAAGCACATGCAATGTCCTAAGAACCCTACCTCAGAATACTACTTTATGAACAAGGGAACTGATGGTAAAAGGGAGTAGGTTGGCAATTGAGAAAACTGCACCTCATGGAATGCCCGGGAGACTGCTGCAAAGCCACCATCCAGTCTTGCTGCCATATACACCAGGCTTAGTCCTTCATTGTAGCTGTCAGAAAAATCAGTGTGTCAAGCCCACTGGGAAATAACTTCCATCCCACAGTTACCTTCTAGATTTTTTAAAACATGGAATCTTTGGAAATCTTCCAACTTAGAGCATTCACTCAACACAGAAGAGTCCCGCAGAGTTTTACAAACAAGATTGCTTTTGCAAACACCAAATTGGGTAATTGTACTTCCCAACTCTCCTCCCCCCCACCCCCAACGCCCCTTCTAAAGTCACTTTTTCTTCTGCAGCCTTTCTAGTCTCCCTTACCTCAGTTCTTGCCAGTGGTAGGTAGTTTTGCGTAAAGCACGCAGCACTGCTCGATGAAGTTTCTCTTCATTCAAAGATAAGTCTGGGGTGAGAACAAGGACTGGAGGTGAGGACCTAGGAAGAACATGACTCAGATCCAGTATCTGAATACATTGCCTACCCATTCCTCTCCAACTGCCACCTGGAAAAGCCTCAAATCTTTTTTTTTTTTTTTTAAAGATTTATTTATTTATTTATACAAGCACTGGGTACAGTCAGAAGCGCGGGAGGGTGAGAGAATTCCCCAGAGCCAGAGTGGGGAACAGAACAGGCAGACTGACGAAGTACACTGCTGAGGGGAGCAGCAGGCACAGCAGAGCTGCGGGCAGCTTCACAGCCCAGCACTCAACTGCTGCGCCACCAGGGGAGGCCCTAGCCTCAAATCTTAAGAGAAGCCAAACCTAGAGAAAAGTTTCAGGTAAGACTAAAAACGATGATCACCACCACGAGTGTACCAGTACTTTGCCTCTTATAATAGTAGTTATTAAATTTAACAGACTCTATCCCACATTTTTTTGTTCTATAATAATGGGAAGTGGACTAAAGATTTAAAGACTAAAATAAGGACAATATTTTGTATATTTTCTCACTTCTCCAAACTTTAAGATCGTGACATTTCTGATGTTCCTCTACGTAAGATAAGAACTTCAAAATCTAAAGTGTCCTGATTGTATTCAGTTCAGTACTACTCTATTTACTGAATGCCTATTATGAATCAGGTACTGTG